TTTGACCCTAATCAGATGTTGGCTTCTTCCCCCGGGACACCCGGAATGTGTCCGATCTGGCCAAAGCGGTTCTAGAAACTAAATTTGAGTTCCATTGAACCAGTCGTTGAATTCTCATGTAATTTGATGTGTCGCATGATGGGTTTGACCCTAATCAAATGTTGGCCTCTTCCCCCGGGATACCCGGAATGTGTCCGGATGAGGGTAAAGTGGTTCTTGGAACTAAATTTGAGTTCCATTGAACCATAAATTGAATTCTCATGTAATTTGATGTGTCGCATGATGCGGTTGACTTAGCTTGTAAGATATTATTGTTAGGTTAAGATCTATTTAATAAAAAAAACATATGTTAGTTATAAGAAAATGAAAAATAAAATTTATTGATGAAGTCATGTTTATGCTTCAACTGTTTTCATTTTTATTAATTTAAAACCCATTGAAAAAGAAAATGGTGGTGAACAATCGGGAGCGCGCCGGGGCGCCTGGGGGCGGACAAAATGGCCGAAACGATCAGTTTTTTGACAGGTATCGTTTTCGCCTCAGGCGCCCAAATGTTGCAAATATGGTCGCCCCCGGCGCGCCGGCGACCAAAATTGGACCAAGCGGCGCCGCGAGGTTCGAGTCGCCCAAGTCCGCCCCGTCCGCCGAGCGGATGTGTACAATTGTACAATTACGGTCCGGGGGCGAGCCGTGGGCGACTAGCCCGCTGTATGTGGGAGTATATGCTGGACATGTGCACGGAAACATTAATATACTCATCGATGCTTAAACTTTTACCACTTTTTATCTTTTCTTCTGTTTAACAATTATACCACTATCGAGTTTTCTACATGGTTTTTTTTTTACAAAATCAGGGTTGCCATATATCTTGATATTTTTTAAATTCTACACACTTAATCTAGCTCGGTAAAATCTCCAAAAGCCGATTACCTCGGCATTCTCTTTTGCTGATATCTCTGCAAAATATCTGTTTGTTAGCTGACAGCTCAGCAAAATGTTATTTGTTAGCTCTGAGTCTCGGCAATTGTTTTACTGAATCTCAGTCAAATAAATTGCAGAATTACTCGGCTGTTGGAATCTCGGCGAAAATATTTAAGTGTGTATCCAGCTTTCCATGCTCGGTAATGGCGGCCTGTTTGTATGAATAAATGTATCCTTCACTGTGCAATCTGGAGGTTCGGAATTTGACCCCTCCCTTTCCCTCTTCCAGGAACAGAAGAAAATGGAACAACATACGCCCTCCAGTTAGTGTCAAAAAGCACAGTGAAGGATACATTTATTCATCCAAACAGGCCGCCATTACCGAGCATGGAAAGCTGGATTAATAATTCTAATATAAGCCTAATTTATCCTGAATTTCACAGAAAACTCTGATTTATGCTGATTGTCAACCATCATATTCAAAATTTGTGATATTTTACATTTTTTTTCGATCGAGTTTCAGACTTGGAAAACACCCTGCGCTTTGGTCAGAGAGCGTATAGGGCATCGTTGTGCCAGATTGGTCGAGGCACATTTCGAGTATGAGAAGGTGGTTACAGTTTGCTCAAAAGTGCCTGAGCAAAATGCAAGTACTTTCAATGATTACCCGTAGTTGCAATACCCAATCAGCAATTTTGACTTTGTAAGAGTTGTTTACACCAGTATTTAAACTTAAAGAAGGTTTTGAAACTTTCATAAGGTGTACAATGCTGTTTGGGTAGTGAAGGTATAATTTTGAACTAAAATAGGATACAGTCAAAACATTGAGAAACATAACGCATAATTAAAAAAAAAAAATGCCTGAATTTGCAACCGATGAACCATTCTGATGGCCTATGGGTACCCAAGTAACCATATAGTCGCAATAAAGCTTTGTATATACTCACTTTGCGATAATATGGTTAGTTGGGGAATCCGATGAAAATACTAATCCTGGTTGTATGTATCTCTTTCTTTCTTTCTTTTGCAATTTGCATATAAAACCGACGGAGTGCACATTCCAAGTGCTGGGTGACCTAAAGATGACCATGGACATGGGACGCGAATGTTCTCCCAGAAAAGCAGGGCGATACAATAAAAATTGTTTTCGTTGAAGGATGTATCACAACAAAGGTAATTTAGATGCATAAAACAAATTTACATTTGAAGGTACGATGGAGACTCACTCATCACATTGGAACAACCAGATAAGTACACTTGCTTTTTATTTTATTCTTCACATATATCCCAATCATTTTATAACTAAATACGTGCCAGAATAAAAAGTTTTTTTTTCTGGAAGTGAGAATAGACTTGTGTATTTTTGCGGGGTTTATTGTATCAGAAAATGACCTCAGAATGTACGTGCAGAAACAGGCATTCTTGAAATGGGTCGTTTGATGTACGATAGAGCTGTCACCTTCCATCTCCAGGGCTAAAAATATTTGCACATTCGACATACAGAAAATGCAGATAAGTTTCTTCCATAAAAACTCTGCCGGTACAGAGGGCGATGGATTGTACTCACACACACACACACAGTCAGGCATGGAAAATCATTCGCATTCATTTCGTGCATTCATTTACATTCATTTGCCTCTAACTTTTTTCTTCAACAGCATTCCGCAAAATGATGTATAGAGCTTTTGTAGGTTGTGTTATTAACTACAACTTTTGCTAACAAGTCAAATCCGTATCTCTTATGCATGACGAACCAGAGCGAACAGAAGCCACTACTGTTTTTCAGTGAATGTATTTTACATTCACTGAAAAACAGTAACAAGTTCTGCCCGCTCTAGTTTGTGATGCATAAGAGATACAGATTTGAGTTATGAGCAAAAGTTGTAGTTAATAACACAACCTACAAAGGTTCTATACATCATTTTGCAGAATGCTGTTGATGAAAAAAGTTAGAGGCAAATGAATGAAAATGAATGTATGAAATGAATGCAAATGATTTTCCATGGCTGCACACAGTTTCAGACTTGGAAAACACCTAAAATTCTATTCATCTGTAATTTGAAGAAAATTATAGTGGTGCCAGCACTAAACTTTTACAACGTCATTAGCAATATAACAAGACCAGTGCTGCCAGCAAGAAATGTCACTACGATTTTCAGGCGAACGCACAAAAATTTCCAGAGAAGGATATATGTTTAATACTAATAGAAATATTGAAATCTTTGGGCTTTGAAAACAGAAATCAAAATAATGGAACTTAAAGCAAGAATTTCCAAGAGAATTGGGAGAATTCTGAAACGAACACTTACGCGGAAAGAATTTTTAAGCAATTCCGAGGAGAATTCCACGGTAATTCTGAGCAAAATTCCATAGGTCATTAGATGGCTTAAGGTGAATCCTATGGGGGATTACAGATGCAAAATGAATGGAAGTAACCCTGGCAGGGAAGCTGTAAGTAGAATTACACAGTAATTTTAAAGAGAATTCCAAAGGGATTGTGAGAAGTCTCGCAGAATTTTATTGAGATATCAAAACGAACTTCTGAGGATGATTAAAACGAAACTCTGAGGGTAATTCCAAAAACAGAAAATTAATGACATTTCTCAGCGAATTTTGATCACGACTTCAAGAAAATTCTGACACGAACATCAAAGGAATTGAATAATGTATTCCAAAAGATTAAATTTTGTCATGAGATTTTCAATGCAGATTGCTTTTTTTTATATGTTGAATGTTAGCTATTCAGATTTTTAGTAACAAGCTGGTTGATGTCTTCCTCTCTCTTTCTGAAGATAGTTTCAAAGGAGATTTTTTACAGTGTTTCATAGGAAGATTACTACTAGAATGCTAAGGAGATTTTCTAGCTAATAGAAGTAGTAGATGAGTTTTATATCTTCACTAACTAATTATGTTGAGGCAAATAGTACTGTGATTTAAAAGTATACTAGAATAAATGCGTACTACACCGTTCGGATTTCAGTATGATAGTAACGTTTCACATTTCGCTTTCATTGCACCTATCGAACGGTGACAGATCACCCAATCGGACTGATCAGACTCGAGTCCGCTTCGTTGTTTTCCGTTAAACGTATTTCACCCTACGGTAATCGTGAATACTACAATCTCAACTTCTTTCGATCGCACGGTTAATGCGGATACCATAATGAGTAGAATTCATCGGTAGATCTTACTCAGAATTTCTGAGTAGAATTCCAGTAAGGTTAATTACAACAAAATTTCAATTTGCAGGCCTATTCTGCGCGGCGTGTGAGGTGAGGTGACACGCTCTCACTTGTGAAGTGACAATTGTCACCTCGGGTGAGGTGACTCTCCGTGCAAATCAAATGGAGAGTCACCTCACCCGAGGTGACAATTGTCACTTCACCATCACTTCACTGTCACTTCACCTCATACGCCGCGCAGAATAGCCCTGGTGAATTCTCAAACGGAATTCTGAAAATAACTTTGAGGACTATTCCGGAAAAAAAATCTGATGAGTTTGAAAAGGGAATTCGTATAAAAGCTCCAAACGCATCCTGGTCAGCAAGGTTGCTTCGACTCATTTCGCCATAAAAAATGTTTTAGTGCGACACACAAACAATGATGCCAGATTAAAAGACTGGTGTGGTCACTCTTTTTAATTTTATACATAAATTATCAAATCAAATAAAACGTGAATCTTCTGTCATTGTCTTTCCTCAAGTAAATTTGAAAGTTTTTTTTTCTAGACCAACAAACTAATTGTAATCGACAACATTTAAATAAATAAATTATAATAATACATATAACGTGGAGCTACGCATTAGCAAAATTAGTTACTTTTTTGGAACTAATTTCTATCCAAACAGATAAACAAATTATTATCATAATCAAAATAACAAGGGTTCAAAACGATGGTGTCCAATTTTTTCGTGTATAAAAGTCTATAAATCAGGCATCGTTGCACACAAATGGGCTTCTTCGGGAAATTTTGTTAATTATTGTTGACTTGTTAACTTTTGAACATCCAGCATCGCGTAGTTACTTCACCAATAAACGGACTATTTTGTCATCGATCCTCTGCTTTTTCAAATAAAATGTTCCTTTTCCACCAATTTATTTACATATTTTAGCATCATGGCAGAATGGCGTGCACGAGTGCACTCTTCCGGCTCCTACAGTGTAATTTATCAACCATCCAAATGACATGTTGCACTATTATTAGAAACAATCGGTAGTGTTATGTAGTTAAACGATTTCAAAGAACTTGATTCAACTCTCCCCCCCCACAGCAATCGAATCATCTAAACAAACTGCGTTCAGTACCCGTTCACTTTGTCTCGAATGAGTAGTGAGTGCCATCGCGCGGATACTGCTTGGCCACCACCGGTCGGAACATTCTGTAATTTTCTAGCCAATAGTACACGGCAAAACATCCAGCCAAAACACCCGTGAACGATAGCCAGTAAAACTTCATCGAAAAGCGTGTCGGTTCGGCGGTACCGAAACGATCTTCGGACCAGAGGGGTGTGTCTGCATGGAGCTAAAATGAAACAAACCGTCACAAAACTAGTTGATCCAACAAAAAAACCCACCACCTATTCCATACCGTATCGTGCAGATTTCTCTTCAGTTCGGGAAAATCGTACGGATAGTAGGGATCACGCGCTTCTACCGCCACATCCGGCAATTTCGGATAATCTCCAATACCGGTGCCATCGTTTGGGTAAGGTTGATATTCCGATGGATGGAGGCCATATTTCCGGGCAGCCGCTTCACGCTCCTTATCCGTTTCCGGACATTTGCCCGCTTTGAAGTCTTTGTTCCAGCCGTCTGTGGGTATCCGTAATAAAAAGTGACAATAAGATTAGAAACGTAAACAAAACCGAGTGAATATGAGTCAAAAAGGATCATCCATGTTCAGGAGCGATTCTTTATTATTCTTTGACAGCAGCAAGCAAACGATTCTTGATGTTACGTAAAGATGAACGGTAAGCAATTGTTCGATTTTTCCAGCCGATTATTGCACCTTAAATATTGCATTTTTCACATCACTTCAAAGCTGATAATACGTACGAGCGTTTCGCGCAGCCAACACGAATAAGGCTGGATTTTTGGAGGAAATTTGGCTGGCTAACTTTAAACCTTTGATGAGCGCTGCCATTTTTCGGAAAACACCAGTCGACGGTCGAAAGTACAAAAGTATTTTCTTCTGATGGTTGGTCGGAGATCTGTCAAAATATTTTCAACAGAGGAAGTGAAACACGCAGATTAGTACAAGATACCCATGGAGCAAAAAGTTTCATGCATTAGTTAAGCCTATGTGTACACGACATACACACAAAATGAAAACTAACGAAGGTTACACTAAATCAATTCTACACGGATAGAAATCTCCTTATACCTTTTGGCAAATTTCTATTGCTAATTATTCATAAAATGTATAAGTCAACTAATAAGCAGACGCCTTGCAAAAAGTTAATGAAGATCATGTGTCAAATGAAATGTATAAGCGGTCACACATACCTTTTATGCATTCTTATAGGACCCTCGATAGGACCTATGTGGTTTGTCTTATGGAATGTATAAGGCTGATGTTTGGCAAAAATGTATAAAAGTGAAACACATGAATAAAATAATTGATTTTCGTTTCGTGTAATCTCGATTACTTTTTGAAGGGACGTATCAGCTTTTGTAAACAATGCATTTTATCATCGATTGGACGTAACTGGTAGCTCGCCTACGCATTTTAACACCACTATCAGATATCAGTCACGTCAAATTTACGATCAAATACATTGTTTATTGCCGCGCTTATGTTAAATTTTAATTATTCTTTCCTCGACAATCGAACGCAAATTACCGGCATCATCGGATAGGGGAAAATTTTGCCAACCCAAATATAGAGTTAGTTTGCGTATGCGAACCTTGAATCACGAGAAAACGGTTTCCAAAGTTTTGTTCGCAATAGCTGATGTGCTCTTTGATTCCCCTATTTGACAGTTCAATTGGTTCCCGAGATTCTATCCGCCAGACTATGAATCTAGCAACTATAGTCAAGTAGTGTGCCAATTTAAAATCGTTAGTTTCCATCGGTTGGTTGTACCATACTTTTTCATAGCACATTCTTAATTTTAAGCTCAAAGACAAAAACCAGCAGACTCAGAGATGAAATCAGGCATAACATTTGATAACGGCACAAAAGCATTTGTAAACATACTTTCTAAGGCTCTTTACACGTGAACCAAAGTACACCCACGCAAACCACTTTCGGAAAGGTGATAGTTGCCCCTATCCAATGATCTTGTTGGTTTGCGTGGGCGTACTTTGGTTCGCGTGTAAAGGGCATTAAAAAGTTTGTTTACAAATGCTTTTGTGCCGTTATCAAATGTTATGCCTGAAATTTTAAAAACCAGCATAGTTTTTATGACTCAGTTGAGTTTTTAATTGCAGTAAAACATACTTTGGCGAAATATGTAAGTAAACTCCTGGCTCAGTGCTTTTGGCGAAAATCAACTGAGAACGAGTCTAACAGTTTTAAACTTGAAACAATTTTCAAGCACTTTTCCATTCGCTTGCAATTAACAAAATCGAACGACTCCACAGCACCCAGCTATGTAGTAAAAAGATAGGCCCGGGTCAAAGACAGCCGTCAACGCCAATCAGTATTAAAGCTGGTTTAGACAAGACAAGTCACTTGAATTGGGTTGTTTAACTTTGAAAAATATACCAATTTTTATGAATCATCTGATAGAGCTTCGTTTTCTGAGCACAGCGATATGTTTATCGATCTCGTAGATTCCCACCAAGGGGCGCTAAGATGGTGTTTTTTTTGCTAATGTAATCGTACTTATTTAAAAGAGTTCCAATGTACAAAAATTGATGAAATTTTGGATATCGGTTCCATTTTTAATGCAGATAACGAATATGTATTCAACTCAATACCCCTAAACAACCCAATTCAACTGACTTGAAAAAATGAGCCCGGTTCCACTTCCATCAAGCCCCTTGAATGGCAACACGGCCAATGAGAATAACACAGAGAGATAGTCACTTCTAATCAGTTGTATGAGAAATTTCTTAAAACTACACACTGAGGCAAATAGACCTATGAATTTCATAAGGCTCGACTTATGAACAACATATATGAATTTCATAAGCGTGACTTATGAATGATTTGAGGTAGCTCTTATACGCCTTTAACCATTCCTTTTAGCCCTAACCTCAACGTCGATTTTCCGGTTCCAGTCTGCATGGATTTATTATTTTTTTGTCAACATTATTTTCCATAAGGCAAATCACTGAAATTCACACTCATTTCTTATAGCTGAAATTCATAAGCGTTTCTTATGGACTACTCATTGCTGAGTAATTACAGCTTTCAGAAATTTATCATACAAGTGAGTAGAAGTGATTATCCCTCTGAGTTATTCTCATTAGCCGTGAAGATTTGTGTGCCCATGCATCAAACCAGTTGCTCATTCCAAAAGTGTTAATGTGTGCGTGCGAGCCTAATCAATCGGGGAAAACAGAGAGAATTTTTCATTCAAAAGGACGACCAAATGAGAGCGAATCGCAGAATCGAGAGCAAAACTCGCAAACTACAAACTACCTGGGAACGAATCGAGTGAAAATAAAGCATCTGCGAATAAATTCATTCTACCGCAGTCAGCATTTGGAGGCATCTTGGTGCGTATCGCGTGCGCGACGGGAGATTTTCGGTCCGGTGAAACAGTTCTGTGGAAATTGTAGTTTTACTTACTAAATTCTCTTCTGCTGGTGCATGGTTCCTCGTAACGGCTTCCCAGACACATTGTAATAAGTAGCTGCCCCAACATTGTGCCTGCAGTCGAGCCTCCAGTTAGGCAGTTTATCGTAGCCGTTGTTTTGTGTCGCAATTTCCGCCGTGCCCAATTGGCTTTAATTCAATAATAAGACGACGGTGTATAACGTGGGTTGTCGGATGTGCCACTAGGAGAGCAGAAAGTGCGAAGTTATTTAGTGTCCTGCTCCTGCAGAAAATTTTCACCGAAAAAAACAAAGATGATGGCCAGCTATTATGAAATTTTGCTCATCTGTGGCATCATACTGTTGCCCATATTCTACGAAACGTCCCACAAATTTCGATACTTTTTCAAATTCTTCGTGTACTATTTTGTGGTCATGATCAACTCGTTAATATTGATCCCATTCATGCTGTTCCGGCCCAAGGATGTTCGGAATTTGATGTAAGTAGCCCGCATACACGCAGAAAAAATAGAAAACATAAGTTTTCATTTCAAGTGAAGAATGTCCGGGTAAAATTAATGTCTTTTTCCATTCGCTGCGCACAGCAGCTCGAAAGAGGCGGAAAAATCGATAATATTGAACCTAAGATGTGGGAGACGACGAGAGAAAATGAAAAGATAAACAACAGAATTTCCTGTAGGGATATAAACCTATATGTTGTTTTTCTTGGTACGCTGTCCTACAAGACCGGATGGGTATCGATTTTTGGTATTTTCTTTTTCGTTAGGTGCATTTTTAACTTCGCAGACAGTTGTTGTTGGAATAAAGGTAGGTCCCATTTTGCTACTTAATTAGTGGTAGAATGTCCTGTCGGTATTTGATTTCAACAGTCCACGCGATGCATTCAATACTTGGAGAGAGTGCAACAGATATGAATCTATATGAATGAAGTGAAAAAATAAAATAAACGGTGTTTTTTGCGTCCGCTGGCCCAGCTGCATCGCGTCGTACAACACCCTCACTCGAGTACAACAATGAACATAATTTAAAACACAATCAAGCATGCTTCGACGGACAGCACAGCAGACAGCCACTTATGATGATGCTGATTAGGTGATCCACAAATTTTCGGCCTGTCTCGCGTTTGTCAAGCTACCATTAAATCTAGATAGAGCTGGAATTAGGGCGTAACAGCTTTTGTAAATAAATGGCTTTTCTCGATGATTTCTCGAAAGGCATGACTCTCCCTGGCAAATCGACTTCCCCTATTGATTTGTTGGTTTGTGTAGGCTTGCCTCGAGTTCCTAGAAATCAACGAGAGAAGTCATTGTTTACAAAAGATGTTATGCCCTAATTCCAGCTCTATATAGAAATAGTCAGTAGCTACTTCGTATACTCATTATTCTCGTCCATATGTATTCTTTAGATTTCAACTATTAAAACAATTAAAATATTATTGATTTCAATCCAAATTTCTTTTGATGGAGTCAATAATTTTAGAATGAATAGAACATCTTTTGTTCTAGCTCCGTTTTTTTTTTCAAAAATAATTTCGCATCTCAAAACAACGAAAACACTTCTGGGGAGGAAATAATTAACGGCGGTGATTGTTGATAATATTCACGCATTAGTTAAATATGTTGACTATAAGCTGGTTAACATTGAAAGTGTTGGTCATTCGTTAAATCAGCATATACCTATCCTGCCGCTATTCGCATAACAGTCCCATGTACACTGCCTATGATCGCATATCAGTCCCGTTTCGTCAATTTTGAGATAACAACGCTTTCCACTATCAATTGGCATCTACTTTCATATTAAGTGATAAAACTACTAACTTTGATCATGAAAAATGTGAAAACAAGTCAGTTTGTCCCATCAAGCAAAATAAACGCATATCAGTCCATAGTTCAAGTTAAAGTTCTTATTGCAACTGATTTCAACATGAAATTGATTTTTCAAATATTTACATGGGAATTGTACTTAGTAACTTCGACGGCCAATTACTCAATGCCTACTTTTTCTATATGGGACTGATATGTGATTAAGGCCAGTATAAACCTTATAGCGAATTGGTTCATTATTCAGTTCCAACCTGGATCGGGTATCAAGATTGGGTCTGCTTGTTTTCTGACAAATGTCAATTTGCTCGTTTGTTTTTAAAACCTAGCTCAGGTTAAGGTTCGCACTGACAAAAAGTTCGGTTTCGAACCAGTTCCAACCTCGATAATAAACGAATTCGCTATTACTTTGACTTTAATTGCGAAATATGTCATACTTTTGTTCGAATAATCCGATTAACATGATTTTTTTTTCTTTTCTGAGATAAACTAGCCTACCGCTATAATCTTCTTATCTTCCTACGTCAAGTGTACCAGCCGTCTACAAAGATTTTGACCTGAGAGATTGCAATAATCTAACAATACATAAGTAACGTAAGGTCGCCATTCACCGCTCACTGCATGCTTATTGTCATTATTTCTGTAAATTATTGAAGCAAAATTCAATGTTATTATTCAAAATCGTATGCTTTTGATTTCTGTTGCAATAATTTGCATTTTTTTGACGTAGGACTACGTCTTTGATTTCTATATGGGGGTACACTTTGTGAAAACCGAAAATGGAGCATGTAACAAATTAAGAAAGATTTTGAACGTTAATAACTCAGCTGCCTCTGGTCCAATTTCAATAATTTTATCACCAATCGATCAGAAATATGGCTACGCATCAATGACAATGCTTCCGAATGTTGATTTTTAACAAGAAACTATTGAAAAACTGGTAAATATCCAGCATTGTCCAAATACGTCGAATTAACTAACAAATCCACCAATTACCTACATGCATATGCTGCTTCCCCAGCACAGTCGTCAGAGAGTAGTAAGTAGACGAAACAAGTCGAAGTGGCATTCGCCTCCGATCCTCGGGCGCGTGCGAATAGGGAGGATGGAATTGTGTAATATTTTGCACACTCATCGCCATATTCAGAACCAAACGCAAATTCTTCGAGATAACTACCATCCATCGTCTGGCTCGCCGTGGCGGTGAATGAAATATCTCCGGTCTGATTTACGAGGTGTGCTGAAGGTGTACCTGAAAAATGAGATCCGTGATGCTGTCATCTACACTAAACACGCCAAGCGTAAGCTGCCATGGATGTCATCTACGTTTTGAAGTGACAGAGACGCACTCTGTTTGGTTTCGGAGGTTAAATCATCACCAACTTTGCCAACAAAACGGCTCTTTTCAGGGCCACCAAGCTTATTACAGTAAAGAGTAGGAATAGAATTCATCTGCCTGTTTGTCCATATTAAGAACCAACGACCACACAAAATGCTCATGTAATCAAACTGGAAGCAGGGATACAAATTATTTTGATCAACCTTGATCAACTTTGAATCGCCACGGCCGGATATTTTCGATGGAAGAAACAACAATCTAGCATCTAATTCGACGAAGACGGTAGGAAAGATTTGTGAAGCCGAGTTATTTACGAAAGAGTGTCGATGAAGAGAATCGATCAATGTAGATTGGACCTATTGAAAAGTGACGCGAGATTTGTTTTCCGTACTGAGCTCCAATGCTACCGACGCCAGGGAGGCACCTCCCACACCTGGACCCTACCAATCGACCCATCAACTCAACCGGGGACCAACGGCTTTACTTCCCGAAGGAAGGCGTGATCAGAGATGTTATGCCTTAGAACATGCCGGTGGCGCCAACTGAGATTGGACCAAGGCCTGCTGGGGTGAGAGGTAATCACGCTAACCACCGGTGCCGATATCTTTCAAGGTGATATCACGGCGAATGAGAACGACCCAAATTTGAGTTTAGTTATCTCAGAAATAAGAAATTAAGTGCAGGAAATCAGCGATGAGTAAATTTGCCTCATGTTTTCCCAGGTTTTTCCAGGGAAAAAATCCCAATTTTGAGAAAAGTAAAGATTGGATTCACTCCGTCTATTGGTACTAATCCGAGACTGAATAAAATTTTCGTCAATCTCCTCATTTTCTGGCAGATTTTTTAAGTTTTCCACAGGAAACCATGAGACAAATTTTACTCATCGTTGAGTTCCTGCACTTTTGGCGATTATGAGTGAACTAGACTCAAATTTGGGTCGTTCTCATTCGCCGTGTACGCAAAAAGAAACGAGCCAGTGTCGCTACTTGATAGCAAGCTACTCATAATGGGAGGAGTCTTTGTAGCTTTTATACCACTTGGTTGCACATCATTCTGCTTTAACCTGAAAAGGTATAAAAGAGCCCTGCTGTATGGCATTAGCTCATGGTTTCCGGACGAACCAACCTTCACATCACCGACGGGCAACCCATCGACGCTGGACCTGTTCTTGGCAAACACCAGATTAGCCAAGCCGGTTGCCGTCAACGACCTGAGTTCGGACCACCAACCGGTGCTGACCGAGCTGGGCTACAACGTGGCCCCTGCACCGTGCCAGCGGAAGGACTACCATCGAGTCAACTGGGTCCAGTTTCGACGCGTGGTCGACCGCCACATCGACGTCAACCCACCGCTCGACACAGTGGAGGACATCGACCGGGCCCTGGAGGGTCTCCATCAAGCCATATCCGTGGCTGACGAAGAGTGCGTTCGACGAGTTCCTGTGAGGGGTAAGTTTCAAGCAATTGATTCCCACACCAAACTCTTGATTCGGCTCAGAAATGTTCGTAGACGCCAGTTTCAGCGGACTGGGGATCTGCAGTGTAAATGCGAAATGGTCGATCTGAATCGGCAGATCGCTTACAGAATGGTCTCAATCCGGAACGAGAGTTTCGGGCGGCTCGTTCATAACCTGGACGACCGTTCCAGACCATTCTGGAAGGTTGCCAAGGTGTTGAAGTCTCACCCCAAGCCCATTCCACCACTTAGAGTCAATGACGAACGGCTTATCACCAACGAAGAGAAGGCCAATGCAATTGGGGAGCACATTGCCCAGTCGCATTTGCTTGGCTCTACAATCCCAAGTCCACTCGAGAACCAGGTTGTGCAGTGCGTCCAGACGTTAGATGCCTCCCCTTGTGCCGTCCCTCAAGAAGAACGGATTACAGAGGAACAAATTTGCTCAGCGCTGAAACACAGTACGAACATGAAGGCTCCCGGGTTTGACGGAATATTCAACCTAGAGTTGAAAAATCTCAGCGCGAGGGTGCACTCGCTGCTGGCTGCCATCCTCAACAGATGCTTGGAGCTGCACTACTTTCCAAGCATCTGAAAGGTGGCAAAAATCATCCCGATCCGCAAACCTGGGAAAGACCCTTCACTACCGTCAAGCTACAGACCGATTAGCCTGCTCTCAGCGCTGAGCAAGCTGTTCGAAAAATTGATCCTCAGCCGACTAAACAAGTTTGTGGAGGAACATGACATTCTTCTTCCGGAACAGTTCGGGTTCCTCAAGGGGCATTCCACCAATCATCAGCTAGTGCGGGTGATGAATAACATCCGAAGTAACAAAGCTGTATCCAAGTCCACAGCCATGGCCTTG